GAAGGATATGGAAATAACGAACAGTATTCAATCTCAACGTCCATTAAACAAATATACAAAACAAGAGCAGAGCAAACACGGACCTCCGAAACATCAGAGGTGGGATCAGGTGCCATGGAGGAGTGAGCATCCCCTGTCGACCGGTCACACCCGCCGTGTGCCCGCCGTCACAATCAGGAAATAACGGAAAAAATCCGTGGTCAATTCAGTGTATAAATAATGGACTAACAATTGGTATGAAAAACGTCAGTCAGCATTTCATTCAATGATAAATTGTATTTGCTGACAAGGTCATTGTATCGACCATAGAATTTACGAAATGATGACTTTAAACGAGACTGTTGATATTCTTGTTTCATCAACTTGCTTGTCAATAGTTTACCTCTTTTAAGAAATTGTTCATACGTAGAGCATGCTCTTGCGTATCGAATCAACTGAGATATAAATACTCCGTATGCAGGTGATGAAGGTATATTGCTGCATAAGTAAGGGAAGTTGACGATAGAAAATTTAAAGTCATCACGTTTATCATATAGCTTGGTTGTTAGATTACCATTTGTGTCTTTTTCAAGTAAAATATCCAAGTATGAAGCAGAAGTGTCGGACTCTGTGGTATCTTTTATCTCAAGCTCAACAATTCGTAACAAAACATATTCACCAGATTTTAGACCGTATTCACCAGGGGGTTAGTGTCCTTGCAACGGCATTGTGACGTCACAATCAACACCTCAAACAATGTTGTAAACAATTTTTGCAACACTGAGGTTGCAACACTGAGGTTACTAAGTGTAATCTAGACTTTTTTAGCTGAAAGCTCAAGTGAGGTTTTTTGATAACCCAATGTCCGTCGTCTGTCTGTCCGTCCAACTGTAAACTTTGACATTTTCAACTTCTTCATAAGAACCACTGGGCCAATTTTAACCAAACTTTAAAAAAAAGGCATCTTTGGATGAAGGGGAGTTTAAATTTTTAAAATGAAGGGCCAATTCCCCTTACAAAGGGAGATAATCAAGAAAACATAAAAACAGAGTGGGGTCATTAAAAAATCTTCTTCTCAAGAACCACTGGGCCAGGAAAGCTGAAATTTTTATGGTAGCATCCTGTAGGTCTGTTAATTCTAAATTGTTCAAATCATGACCCCCGGGGGTAGGGCTAGGCCACAATAGGGAATCCAAGTTTTACATAGAAATAAATAGGAAAATTTTTTTAAAATATTCTTCTCAAGAACCACTGGGCCAGTGGAGCTGAAACTTATATGGAAGCATCCATGGGATAGTGTAAATTCTAAAGTATTAAAATCATGACCCCCAGCAGTAAGGAGGGGCCACAATTGGAAATCCAAGTTTTTCATAGAAATGTATAGGAAAAATCTTTAAAAAACTTCTTCTAAAGAACCACTTGGCCAGGAAGTCTGAAACTTATGTGGAAGCATCCTGTGGTAGTGTAGATTCTAAAGTATTAAAATCATGATAGGGGAGGGAGGTAAGGGGGCCACAATAGGTATAACAAGAGGGGGAATCTGGTAAAGAACTGCATCACCAAAGTTACTAAGGTGAGTAATGTGGCCCATGGGCCTCTTGTTAATAAATAGTTTCATTTTTGTGTAAAAAAAATAAACACATCCTACCTAGATGCCACTCCCTTTCTATAATTTACCTCTATGAATTAGACTAGACGTCTTTTTTTGTTTACAACGGGGCGTGCAATATTGAACGCTCGTATTTGAAATGTTTCGGGCATACTCGTATACGTAATACAAATTAAACTCAGCGTTCAATAAAACGTCAAGATATTCAACGCTAAATTTCTCTAGATTTTTGGAAGTATTCTATTAGAGACTATTTATTACTGTAGCTATATAATAAAAGGAGTTATATACTTTTTTAACATAATCACAAACGAAGAACACATATCGATAAAAAATGAAACTATATTGATATGCAATCTGTTTTTTCTTTACATGAATGGCATTTACAATTCACAAAATAACATCAATTCAAAATAAAAAGGCGAGGATAATGAAAAGAGACCGAACTCACAAAACTCAACAAATATTGCAAAAAAAAATGAATAGGGCATAAAATACGGACCCTCGATCACAAATTTCAGAAGTGGGATCAGGTGCTTTGGAGAAGTAATCATCCCCTGTTGACCGGTAATGTAACTAGACAATACAAAGTTACGTCAGATGAAGTTCAAAAATCCTCTAATCCTTTCTTCAGTACACTTCAATGTTACGCATAAATCTACTCAGTATACCTTTTTATCAATTCACGGTTTCGCACTCTACCATTCGTAGGAGATTTTAGTTGAGAAGGATTTTTATGTCCTTTTTTCTCAAAATCACCCATTTCGTTTGGCTACAATTCATTCGTTTGTAGATGCTCGCGTCGATATTGTCCCTTTCTAAATGTTTCAGGCAATAATATGGCAATTTCATACATAACCCGAATATCGGGTTAAATGGAATGCGAAACATTATTACGGTTTTCTGTTCATAACGTTTAGAATTTGAAAGAATGATATTAAAAGATTCCATAAACATGATAAAGTCCTATCAAATCTTTCAAAATAAGCACCCCTAGGAGTGAACAAAGTAATTCTTGATTGGGATGAATTGAAGATAAACGGCATTATAATTATTCTCCTAGGGCGTGTTTTATCTGTCCGGAACTTTTATATCCACTCATCCAGAAAGATTCTGATGCCCTTTTATATTGATTTAGCAATTTGTAACAGTCTTGGTGAATAAAGATGTAACCTTTAATCGTTCCGAGATCATGAAAACCATACAACGTCCAAAGCAATTACAATTGTTTCTAGACTATTGAGAATATGAATCCAACACCAATTTCCCTTTCTATCAATATGTTATACATGTATAATTTTAATTTGTCTTTTTACAAAAGAATATTTTGTGAAATTCCCTGCGGAAGGAATTACTAAAACTTGCATAAGTTTTCCGACAACAAATGAAATTGTCAGAAGAGACGTAAACATTCCCTGGGCTTCAAGAGCTTTTGAAAAATCTTGATGTGCAATCGTTGAGGTGGCAAATATGAGTAAGGGTATTTCTTGTAGTATAAATGATATTCCCAGAAGAATATTTATCTTTATATATATCTAAGAAGCACTAAAAAAAAGGTCAGTGTTTACTCCGCTCCAATTTTGCATTGTTAACTTTTGAACTTGAGTACTGAAAAATTCTTTAATGGGACATTGAACAGTATTCAATCAATCAATCAATCGATTTACAGTATTTTCAGTCATTTGATTTTTGAGAAATCATTTGTTTCTGATCGACAACATATATGCAGTGTTTAGATACTAGGTCTACCAAAAATCAAATTACATTCTCATGGGTACCAAATGCAGCCCATTATTAGCGGACCTATTTTTGTTTCATATTCAGTACATATTCAGCAGAATTTGTTCAAATCTTATACCTGAATAGAAAAAAAACGCTTGGTGTGGCTTTCAACTTACTTTGATAAATAGACGACCTTTTTTCATCCTTGTGTGGACGCGATACCGTATAATCAGAATCGTTAGCGGGGATTTAATTTAGGAATTTTTAGCGAGGAGATCGCTAACATTGAATATCGCTAAAAATAATTGCCTTTTAGTTGTACATATTGGCTTATTTGGTGAGCTTTTTGATATCGCTAAAATTATTTCTCGCTAAAAAAATATAACCATTTTTAAGGACGAATCACTAAATTTGTATCTCGTTAAAATTTCCACTTACTGGAGTATACGGTATATCCCAGTGAGCAAAAAATAAGTGATGATATCTTACAGAAAAATTGACTTTAAATCTGTGCCTATTTCCCTTTAACAATTAGTAATAAAGAATTAATATTGAACAAAGTATTTATTGATAAATATTTTACGAAAACAATTTGGTCTTAAAAATATATTTAGTATAGCAAAATAAGTATCAGTATATCCATTTTACATCAGATAGTACAATCATAAGTAAGCATGGTTAAATAAAAAGTCACTGAAGTAATGATTATGTAAATGAAAAGCTCGTGCTTTACACAAACCTCAATATACATAATCATAATATGACAGGCTAAATTCTTGACAAAAAATTGTTTTTTTTTCCCTATTGGGATGGAACATAAGGGCATGTTCTACGTACGAACATCCTCTGAAACGGATATACCGAACAACAATCTGAGGAAACACGGATGTAATCAGTTTTGTTTATTGTGATCATTTTTCAAGGTCTATGGTCGGGACAAGAACTTTTCTCGGCAAATACGATCCATTAATAAGTTGAATGCTCACATTCTCCTTCTTACAAACGATTTTCATATAAAGTGTTATGTCATTACTCACACACTGAATTATTTAGAAATGTCCGATAATACAATTTTATGAGCCAACACTGTGTGTGAATGGTCGACAGGGAATGTTTTCTCTTCCATGACTGATCCCACATCTGATGTTTTAGACATTTATGTTTCTTTTGTTTCGGACTAGCATTGTTTTAATTGACTTTTGACTTTGATAACTATAATTGGTTTTCTCCATACTTATTGTAATACATATTGTATGTTTTAATACATTCAAATACACACTTTCTACTATCTATGTTCATATTAACATAGATGAGTGTTATTGCTTCGTTTTAGTGAACTGGAAAATGAAAAAAAAAAGATGGCGAACAAAAATTTATAAATAATGTTACGTATTGCAATCCGTCTCCTTGATAATTTTAATGAATTGGCGCATATAATAGCATCCTCTTTGAAATACTTCCTCTCCTCGACTGTTGAAAAAAAAATTTTAATGGGGATTACCAGAACAAAACTATTAACAAGTAGGTAAAAAAAACTATTCTAGTTGTGGAACAATTTAATATATGATTTAGTCAGCTTAGAATTAGGAGAAAAGAAGGACAAATTATGTTATGTGTACCTCTTAATGGATAAAAATATTTAAACTGATGCTTTCTTTTTTAATTCCAATTATTTGCAGTGATATTTCGAGAATGTTTCCAATTTCTATGTGCCTTGTCTATTGCCTCCTGTCAAGAAAAATATGCAACTGAAAATGGCACCAGTTTACAAACATCTTAATCGAAGGTACTCTGTTACTTAACCTTTCAAATTGATCTGGAGAAAATACAGTGATTTTTGTTCAGTAATATATATAGTATATTAAAAACTGGGAAATTCTATCACATTTTTAAATATTCTTTCCGTGAAAATAGATGTTTTTACACTAGCATGACATCAGATATAGGAGCTGCTGATATTTCATGTATTTGTAAAATAACTCCTCTACGCGCATAATTTATCTTTCATTGTGTTAGTGATCCTGAACTTAAGTTATGATATGAGTAAAGAATGATTTAAAATAAATTTGCAAGATGTATAACTATTTTATTACTTTACTTCAGTGTTAGAACCTAACTAGATATGGAAAATATGAGTCTTATTGTATTTAGACTACTATCTACACTTAATAGAAATAATCATAGTTTACTATTGTTTGATGGTATTTCTTCCATTCCATGAAATATGAAAATATCGAAGTTTGAAAATCCATTTTTAAAGTTCAAATCGGGAACAACAAAAACACGGACATCTAGGACCATCATTGTTGGGACATGATCCCATTAGGAACATACAAATTATTGACAAACTAAAATTGTTCAAATGTGCAAGCACAGTTTTAGCCCGTTATTGATGTTATTATCATGATATATTCGAAAAAAAAAAAGATTTCAAACTACTTTAATCTAATAATTAAAATAGTACTTAATATTACGTTGAAAGAAAAACATTATATTGTATATATATCAATAAAAAAATACAATCGTTTTAATTTCCATATGCATAAATATACTTATATTACGCACTTAGATCATCAAAAGTGTTAACTTTCTTATATGCATAAATATACTTATAAGAAAGTTAACACTTTTGATGATCTAAGTGCGTGTCACGTGGGTAAATGAGGAAGTATTTATCTTTTTATTAACAAACAGAGTTGGCATCTCAATATATGGATGAAGAGTAACTAAGAGTGATACACAGACCCTCTTCATTTAGGAAGTCAGTCCTTCTGATTAAAATCCATAAATAACTCTACTAAGTAAGAGTACCTCAACAAGTGTCTATTTATTAAACAAGATATATATATATATCCATATCAAACTTTTCACACTAATTCTCGAGGTCTATCTATTTTTTATTTTAGTTATTTGTAATAGCTCAACATGTACGCAGTATATTCAAGGTGCGCAATGGAAATATCGACAATATTTTGTAAATAAAAATGTATTCATAATCAGGATGGCGATAATTTTTTGTATATTATTTATACCGGATAACTGTGGTTATAGTAAATACAGGACGATTATATTTTATATTTAGATTGGCATAACCAAGTTAAAATTCTAAGCTTAGTTTATAAATATTTTCAACACGCACTGTAGTTTCTTAAAACTGCAATTAAGACCCCTACATTACCCTCCGATGTACTTGCATACAAATATACGGCAGTAGATATATATATATATATATATATAATCGGGCTGGGGCGGAAGTGAGTATCCTTGTAAAAGTGAATTTCTCTGTGCTTTCTATATTAATATTCCTTCACTTAGGGCAGTTATATTAGCTTAAGAGTTGTTGTAATTTGTGCTTTATAAATAAAAATAATTTCATCACAACATGTATTGCCAACGATCCTCTGAAAACTAATGTCAAAATAACTGTATCTCACCTCCATTCTCAATGACCGTGTAGTGTAGGGCAGCGTTGTGATATTCCATATCGAAAGCAAGTTTTTTTAACTTGCCTAGATAGCCGAGCGGTCTAACGCGCTGTTCCTATACTGCTAGGAGACAGATTCCGTAGGTCGAGAGTTCAACCCCGGGCTGGGGCGGAAGTGAGTATCCTTGTAAAAGTGAATTTCTCTGTGCTTTCTATATTAATATTCCTTCACTTAGGGCAGTTATATTAGTTTAAGAGTTGTTGTAATTTGTGCTTTATAAATAGAATTAATTTCATCACAACATGTATTGGTAACAATCCTCTAAAAACTAATGTCAAAATAACTGTATCTCACTTCCATTCTCAATGACCGTGTAGTGTAGGGCAGCGTTGTGAGAATTCCATCGGCATCGAAAGCAAGTTTTTTTAACTTGCCTAGATAGCCGAGCGGTCTAACGCGCTGTTCCTATACTGCTAGGAGACAGATTCCGTAGGTCGAGAGTTCAACCCCGGGCTGGGGCGGAAGTGAGTATCCTTGTAAAAGTGAATTTCTCTGTGCTTTCTATATTAATATTCCTTCACTTAGGGCAGTTATATTAGTTTAAGAGTTGTTGTAATTTGTGCTTTATAAATAGAATTAATTTCATCACAACATGTATTGGTAACAATCCTCTAAAAACTAATGTCAAAATAATGTGACGGGGGTCCTCCCCGTCACTGGCACTGGTAATTAATGACTATAGTTTCTATTTACATTGTTTATTTACATATTTACATCACAGATATATATATAAGAAATCACAATTGTTCACAATACAAAAACACATCCACACTCGTTGACTTTCAGACTTGTTCTCCTCTCTCTCACGCGCGTTCCCAGGGCATGGCCATATCAAATCTCTTTTTCCCCACTTTCTCACACAAATCAATCTAAAGCTCACTTTCATCTCTCAGAACTCTATCATGCACAATAAACAACGATAACAGAAATGACAAACAAACAAATTATAAATCCATGCTTGCTCACTCGCTTTCTCTCTAACTAACTAAAATTACACACTTGGGAAATAGGGCTACAACGCCTGCGCTGCGCACCTGCAACCTATCACTCACTCATTTACAATTAATTAACTTGGGTGATTGCTCTGTGACATACCTCCCCTCTTAAGTGTGGCGTCCCGACACACTAATAAAATTACATGTAGTAGACTGATAATGACAATTTGATATCGCTTACAAGAATCACACATTCATAGCTAAAGAGACCTTACTACACACAGAAATAACAAAATAGTTTAACATGCATACACATTTCATGTTTTACCTTTTTTTTTCTTAGATTTTCGCGTTTTATCTTTACATTTTTTTTTAACCAAATGTTTATTTTAGAATTTGATATACATTATGTACACAACCTACGTATACACTTAAAGTAGTCATTTTGTAACTGACGTAATCTTCTCATAATTACATATGCATCTTGCGCACTCTCACTAACTTATTTGCATCAGTACTAAATGAAGTACACTCATCAGTTATATACAAAGAATTATTTGTATCATCAATATATCATGCAGTATTTCAAAATATCAAAGTTAAAAATACAATTGTACTGGAAATTCCCGGGCAATAAAAGCATTACACACACAATTGTACTGGAAATTCCCGGGCAATAAAAGCATTACACACAACAAAAGATTATTTTTCACCAATTCTTATGAAACGCATTTTTCCCATTATGTCGACACGGTCGCCCGTTGCCATACACAATATCCGTTTTTTTTTTCCTTACCAATTCTTATTCTAAAGTCGCATTTTCCCAATTATGTCGACACGGTCGCCCGTTGCCATCAAAAAAGGTCACTCCCTAGGCCGTTTTCGCTACGTCTCCACGCACGAATTCTTCACTTAAAATCATCTCACTGGATCCATTATCAATCAACTTGAAGACCATTTGACTTTTTGTATAAACACGTCCTCCAATTTTGGCGAAACAAAATTGCGGATTTAAATGACAATCACCTCCTCCAGTTTTGGCGACACAAAACTTGAGGGTAAATTCTCAACACATTTTTTTTACAGACCGACGAAACTTTAATGTCCGTCTTCTGTCACCGGCTGTCCTCAGGAGTACTAGATGCGAACTTTAGTTTTCGGAATCGGCGTATTTCTCATCGTTACACTGGAGTGCGAGATGCCCTACATTCCGACAGTTGTTACAGATCGGTGTCCCTTCGATGATCCTGGGATTTCGGTACGGTCTTTGGCGGAATCCATGGCCTCGTCCTCGAAGGTTTTGCGGAATGTATTGTTGCTTAGAGGTGAAACGTCCGATCTCGGTAGCCATCACGGACACCTTTGCTGTGTGTTCTGCAAGTACAAGGGACTTTTCTAGCTCTCCTGTTCTCATAGAGCCGCACGACGTACATCTGGCTGCCACTGTTCTCCTGGCATCCACCAGGAAGTTGTTACATGCACTCTTCCCTCTTTGCATGCCTGAAAGCTTCCTCGAATGTTTTAAGATTGGGAAATAAAACATACTTCTTGATTCCAGCTTTTAATACTTGAAAGATATGCTCCTTAGTGAGAGTTTCTTTTTGCAATTCAGGCTTGTCCATGACTCCATGTACACACGTATGGCGATCTTCGTTATATTTGCAGCATAATCCAGTACAGTTTTCGTCTCCTGTTTTTCCGAGTCATTTTCCTCACAAATTTTGAACAAGAGTTAATTCCCCATAGTACATGTATCCGTTTACATGGTTAAGTTAATCCTATCCGACCGCTGGCCACCATAATATGTGACGGGGGTCCTCCCCGTCACTGGCACTGGTAATTAATGACTATAGTTTCTATTTACATTGTTTATTTACATATTTACATCACAGATATATATATAAGAAATCACAATTGTTCACAATACAAAAACACATCCACACTCGTTGACTTTCAGACTTGTTCTCCTCTCTCTCACGCGCGTTCCCAGGGCATGGCCATATCAAATCTCTTTTTCCCCACTTTCTCACACAAATCAATCTAAAGCTCACTTTCATCTCTCAGAACTCTATCACGCACAATAAACAACGATAACAGAAAATGACAAACAAACAAATTATAAATCCATGCTTGCTCACTCGCTTTCTCTCTAACTAACTAAAATTACACACTTGGGAAATAGGGCTACAACGCCTGCGCTGCGCACCTGCAACCTATCACTCACTCATTTACAATTAATTAACTTGGGTGATTGCTCTGTGACAATAACTGTATCTCACTTCCATTCTCAATGACCGTGTAGTGTAGGGCAGCGTTGTGAGAATTCCATCGGCATCGAAAGCAAGTTTTTTTAACTTGCCTAGATAGCCGAGCGGTCTAACGCGCTGTTCCTATACTGCTAGGAGACAGATTCCGTAGGTCGAGAGTTCAACCCCGGGCTGGGGCGGAAGTGAGTATCCTTGTAAAAGTGAATTTCTCTGTGCTTTCTATATATATATATATATATATATATATATATATATATATATAATAGCACTAAAAATGACCAACGACACGAACAATAAAAATTGTCAAATTTTCGGGACGCCCTGTCCCTTCCTCAGGACAAAGAAAACAGTTAAAAAAGTCATAAGAACAAAGGAAAAAAAGAAACAAAAACAGCTAGCACTACTACTAAGCTATTAAACACTATTTATTTACATACTTAGTTACATGTTGAATTGGAAATTTTTAAGAACACTATTAAAGAAAGAAATCCGGACCGCTATGAATTAAATACGTCCGGTTTATCGGGTATACTCGGGTGAAGTGCGATTTACATAAATGAACGAATTAATTATGCTAATTAATTACGACAATCAGTAAATCGTACACTGTTTTATTCTCTCAAAATGGAGTAACTATATTTGATAAAGAATAATCAAAGAAAAATGATAAAATAATATAGCAGGGATATTTTAACATCTGAAGTATGATCTATTATAAATTTTGAAAATCTTATAGGACTAATTATCGGGGGGAAAATTTTTAACAAAGACGTAAGCAATACATAGTTATGTGGGTTGTTCGAGAGTTGGTAACGCAAATTATCTGTAGAGTTTACACTAAATTCAGAGAATAATCGTGTTTAGTATAATCAGGAATTGGGTCTAGTTAACTTTCATTCTGGTGAAGTCATTTAGTTTGTTAATACCATTAGGGTGGAATGACTTCAATCTGTGCATCCAGAACTTTTCTTTGCTTTTTCTCTCAGCGTCTGTCCATCTTGGGTTATGGTCAATCACCACTACTGTCATGTCCTCCCATTTGTGACCCTCAAGGTTGAAATGTTCCCCGACGGGTTCATTGAGTTTTTTGGTCCTATTGGTCGAACGGTGGTCATTGACTCTCCTGCGGAGATCTCGTGTTTCACCAATATACTGTTTGGTGCCAGCACCTTAGGCACTCCCTTAAAAGTGTGTGGGGGATGACAGCTAGTGGGCATAAGATATAGGTGGGAGTTTGTGGGTGTGGTGTGGAGACTGAATTCGATTTCACCATCAACCAGGGTAGATGTAGTATCTAGGAATACGTTTTTCGAATTTAAGGAACCCCCACTGGCTGCATATAGACGCCCAAAGAAGCTAAAGGACATGGTAGTAAGAACCAGACTGGACAACCCATTATCTAACGGGGGCTTTAAAACTTGCTCTGACAGAAGATGTCTCCTTTGTAAGCACATCACTGACACAGACAGTTTTAACAGCCCTGTTACAGGCCGCAGCTACAAAATACTAGGGAATTTGTCCTGTCATACTTACAACTGCATTTATCTCATCAGTTGCAAAGTTTGCTCCAAACAGTATAGTGGTGAAACAGGAGATTTAAACAGTAGTTTAGTAGTAGTGCTAGCTGTTTTTGTTTCTCTTTTTCTTTTGTTCTTATGACTTTTTAACTTTTTTCTTTGTCCTGAGGAAGGGACAGGGCGTACCAAAAATTTGAAAATTTTTATATTTAACAATTTTTTAACAATTTTTAACAATTGTTATTGTATCGTATATATATATATATATATATATATATATATATATATATATATATATATATATATATATATATATATATATATATATATATTATTTCGGGCTTTATCGAATTTAATCTCGTGACTAACCCGTATTTATAACCCGATAGAAGTTTTAAAATGATACCTTATTTCTTGATTATGTCGGATTTAACTAACGACGAAACAACAGCATGTTGTAGTAAGTTTTGATGTAGTTTAATGGTTTCATACAGGTTAAAATAGCAAATCACCTAATTTTGCGGTATTTTTAAGAACGGTTGTATGATGTATATTTTGTATGATGTCATTATTAATTTTTCCCGTAAAATTAGTCTCCGCCCCCTTTTTGAAACCTGAACTGTGCTGCGTATATAAATGATTAAACACCCAATTTTATGTTAACTCCCCCAAAAATCTACCCGATTCAAGATCAATAATTTACTGCCTATCAATCATTCAAAAAACAATAGCTTCTAATTTGATTGACAGGTCAGCTACCTGTACTACCTGATAGGGTGAGTTTGTGCATTTTGAAGACAATGTTGCCTGGTCACGCGTCAAACACTTTGATGTGCCTGCCTTGTACACACGCGGGTTAAAAAAAAATGTTGAAAATTTATTCAATAAACAATTGAGAGTACAGGTGTAGATATTTAAAACATGACTTATTAGATATTTAAATGTTTTCAGTCTTAACGGCTGCACGGTAGTTTTGGGCGATATGTCGTCCAAGATATCTGCTGTTGAATTTAGACCGTCCATGAACAGAAACTCTTTTTGCCTTTTTTTTTTAACTTAGACTATAATAAATAAAGAAAAGCGATATAGGCGCAAACGGCATAGATAACAATAATCCGTTATCCAATGTTTTATCTTTGTATTTATAAATACAATCTATACCATGTTGTAAAGAAATGTCAGAAACACACGAGTTTCGAGAATGTAACTTTTAGTTCGAATTTCATAACGTTTGTCTATATTCGAAATGATAAAATTGAAGATAATGAAGAAAGATCAATTCTTAAAAGAAATCTTGCAAACAATAAAAATTACCAAACACAAAAACACTCGAAAATGGTGAATATTTTCGACAGTATTGCTGGTCAAAACGTAAACAATATTCCTATCGCGGTACATTGTAAACAAATGGTAAAGGTTCACACAACGGATAGGCCTATAAATGGAATATTTTATTATTTTTTATCTTAATATTCACACTTAATTTTAAAAAAAAGGATATGATTACTTTGTAGCTGTAATCTGTGTTCTTTTTTTAAATTTCACATTTTTTTTAAATATAAACACTAAGTTTCATTATAATGTTTTTTTCTTCATTAGATATCGATGAAAGTATTCATAAATACATTTTATTTATATTGAATTCTTTCATTTAGTACAGAAAATATAATGAAATTCTTCAACAATTCAAATCCTCACCCTCAAATCGATCACGTCCGCCGTAAGCCCTATAATCAAACAGAGGTGACATTTTGTAGTTAATCTATTATAGAGACAATCGGCCTCTGACTATGGACAAGCTGATCACCAATGCAAAATAGCGGCTAACACCATTTATGCCTCCTTCCTTTACCTCCACATAACATAAACACCAACTATGTTGAAATTGTAGTTTATTGTTAAAATAAATCTTGATCAACAATCCAAACATAAAATAGAAACAAATCAAAATATCTACCTGAAACATTCCTAAAACTACATGCAATTATACAGTTCACATGAATAAGCACATGAATAAGCAAATACAAAAGTACAAACAAAATGCAATCAGTACTTCAAAACACAAAACTTTACTTTGTCATTCAATGATCATACCTACGTAAACAAATAACTTTGAATCTGTCTCGAAAAACAGACAGACATGCAAATTTTTATACATAAACTCATATCTATTTTCCGTAAACCTACAGGGTAATGTATAGGATAAAAAATACGCTCAAATGTTAATATCTCACAATAATCAAATAACTTTAAGATATTCATTGTTTACACTCTGAAATGATTGACTTTTTTATTCATTCGTTTTCAGCAAAGGTTGTATGGGTAACTTTATATTTAAGTCAAAGTATACACTTTTGATCGCTAATTCCTGGAGCAAAACCAAAGACGGTAAGATCATAGAATTCTCTTATTGTGACATGATAGATGTAACAAGATAATTCAGTGTTGAATTTAAGAAAGATAAATGAATATAGTTGATTAGCTTGAATCATCTTTTCAAAGATAAAATTGCAACGTTTAGCGTGTAACATTATGTGTGTTTTTGAGTACGCAGGTGTGCGTAAATTTTAAGGCTACATAACAATATACTAGTTTAATTAAAATGTTTGTTATGAACAGAAGTGAAATCGGCAGCTATATGGAGATGCACGAAGAAGGAATCCTGCCAATTCAAAGAAAAACACAACAATGAGTCTAAGCACTTTTGCACCTGCAATCCAAACAATGTCAAAACTAGCCTGTGCATTGGTATTAAATGCAAGAACATTGTAAGGAAAAATAAGGCAAGAGCCACAAAGTGTAAATATACAATGGAACATAATGCACAATCACCAACTGATTGCGAAAACTTTACATCTATACAAACTTTGGGAAAGGCAGAAATCGCATCTCAAGGAGGTAGGCTCGCTGATCATGTTAATGGTTATAATTTTGGTTTAAAAAAGACTTCTCATTCGTAGATCATGATTTTTGCATTTTTTCTTAAATACCTTTGTCATTTTGTCTGGCTGTAAATTTTATTTTTTTGTAGGTAAAGTCCCTTGTAAGAATGTCTGTTCCTTCTCCGTCATAAAGAGTGGAGTTCATGCAATTAGGTAAATTTCAAGATTACTACATATTTAAAAAACAAATTTATTCTTTTTTATATACACATTATACTAAATGCCAAATTAAACTAAATGATCCTAGTATATATACGAGTCGAATCTCTTTTTCGACAAGAATATTCTCATTAAAACTTCCTGATGAAATTATAATTTTACTTTTTGCCAGAAGCTCGGGTGTGGAAAAGTTTCTTAAAGTGGTTATTAGCAAATTCGATGATCTTGAAGCTTATGGTATGCTACTTTAAGTATCTTTATCAAGAAGTGTACCTTATAAATGTTACACCATGTCAAATGAATTCGATAAACACATTTTTAAAAACAAATTAATACATTCTCTTTATACCTAGGAAATATGACGAATTTCTTTGATATCATTGACAAATGCAGTGACGATACGAAATGCCAGGTATTTGTAAACAGACACAAGTCAAGTATTTTTCTATGTGTCTTTTCCACTACTACTGACTCCATTTGTGTTACACTAAAATGCCGTGAAGTACATGATACATCTACTGACACCAACAATATGGACACCAACGCAGAAAATTGGAGAACTTTGCAAACAGCATGGAAAAACTGGAAGAGTACGTACTGCAACTTCAAGGAAACCATGTTTTATTTTTAAAATAAATAATTACATTCTTTAAATAATCAGTTGTGATAATTATGATATATCATGAATATAATAAGGTTTATATAATAAAGTGTAAAATGCACCGTTTATTTACATGTTTATGTCATTTTTCAGAGGAGATTGTGCTCGTGTCCGCAGGTGTTGTTCTTTTAAGTGGAATATCTGGATTTCTGTTTGGTGTTTGTTTTTCTGTCTTTAGGTGATTCATAATCAAACTATAATTGTATTATTTAGAAGATAATATCTTTGTTACGGTCATTCTCAATATTATTCACTATAATATCTCTTTCAGAAAAAGCAGGCCAATCAAAAGATACTTAGAAAGGAAACACGTTTATACCGTAAATTCCGAACTCTATGAGCAAATCAGCGATACATCAAGTATTATACAGGTAATGTATATTTGAAAATTATAACCTTCGTTTTATGATATATGAAAGACACAGGCAAACATTTTAGACATATCAAGTGTTTTGTGTAATAACTATATAATTATTTTTAGAATATGAGAAATTACGTATTATTAATTGAATTATTTTATTTAATTATATGCTTTTCAAACTCAGCTGTGATACAATTACACTTTTAGGGTAATATGTATAATATAAAAACCATTCCTGACAAAAAATCCAAATCTTTCAACCCATGCGAGACTCCAAACTGTAATCCTGAAAGTGAAACGAGCAAGAAAACCGAATTCGAGTACAGTCATATTTATAATATCTTACAACCAAACTATGGCTCGAGAAGCGTTCCACAACCAGTGTACAGCTCTCCATTGGAAAGGGAAAATGCATATTCTCTGCAAAGGTGTCTTAGTCTCCAGATGCTTCCGAAAGAGACTTTGAAAACACGTAGTTCCTCTATGATGTCCATTTGACTTATGTCGATAATAATTGTTGAAAAAATATCAAAAGACTGTTTATATTTAAATTTAAACATCATATAATTTCATTGGTTAATTTTTACCATTTTTTGCTTTTGAAGTCATTATTCATTTTTATTTACATGTATATGCTTATCACTATAATATTATAGTTGTTGTTATCATTTTATTCAATTCATTTGAACCGTATATATCCACTTTTAGCAAGACTTAAATGTAGCATTTGTAAAAAAAAAAAAGATGATTTTAATGAGAAGTTATTTTAGTGATTTCTTATACACTGAAAGATAACATTAACTTAGATGTGAGAGGAAATTGCCATCAATAAACCCTCGCTAAAGAGTCTTCTTGATCAAGACTCAAACTGGATGAAAATTCAAAACTTAATATTAAGGGGGTATGGAAAAAAGGATCCCTTTGCAAATTATGGAAATCCGTCATTTTTAATAATTCTTTGAAGAATTACCCTAAAATATTGTATAGTTCACATCCTGACCCGGGGTTTGAGCTTGACCGCAATATGAACCATGCCTTCTACACGAAATAGGCAAATACTATTAAAACAATCTTAAGAAACCTTTTTATCAAGATTACTTACTAGAAAATACAAAATCTTCATACAAAATACAATATAAAAAGCTTTCTAACACAACCTTTATTCCATGTTTGACGGATATGAGCTGTATTTCACAGTAGCAGAAGAGGTGTTTCTAACATATATATTACAACCATAGACAATAATGAAAAATATGGAGATAACGATCAGTATTTAAGATTAAAAGTCCATAAAACAATAAAAAATAGCAGCAGAGCAAACACGAAGCTCCAGAACATCAGAGGTGGGATCAGGTGACATTGGGGAGCGAGCATCCCCGCTGATTGGTCACACCCGCCGTGTGCTCCTTGTCAAAATCGGAATATAACGGAAAAATCTGTCGTCAATTCAGTGTATAGATACTGAACTAACATTTAGTATGAAAAACATCAGTCAGCATTTGACATAATGATAAATTGTATTTGCTGACAAGGTCATTGTATCCACAATAGAACTTATGAAATGATGACTTTAAAGGAGATGCTGATATTCCTGTTTCATCAACTTGTTTGTCAATAATTTACCTCGATTTAGAAATTATTCATGCATAGTAATTTAGTATCAAAAAAGAAAAATAAGATTATGGAAAGCATAAAACAAATCAAGTGAATTGTCATTGTAAAAAATTCCATGACTTTTTCTGATAAATCACAATCAAGCATCAGCATGTTTCCTTTAAATCCTTTGGATGAAAAGTAATAGTACTGAATAAAACAGAATCCACTTTAATAGTACTATTATTTCTATCTTGTTATAAAGATTTTTTTGTCATAAATACTATTCATATCATTTTATTTTCTTTTGATAAGGACGTAGAGTATTTCTGTCTCAATTAATTCCCTACATTTCTTTATATTTCTTTTTTTTCTAATATTAGCATCAGTAGAGCAGCACATGTTAACAAAAACTTTTTTTTTTAATTAAATGCATCCTACGTGAAGAATGAATTCGAAGGAATATTAATTTGTAAAACTGTTACTACGCTGATCTTATAGTTCCTGCGATCGATTCCATTTCTAGTCCTTGGCGTTTTTTTAAAATTGATTATTTTGGAAAAGAAACATGGCATTTTGTTTGTTTTTATGTGATTTCTTTTACCTTTATGTTATTTAATCAAGCATCCTTCAAACCAACATTTTCCAGAAGATATCAGAGTGCTCCTGATTTTATTTTTTTAATTTAAAAAAAGCACACTTTAACTCAGCTGATGCTCTGCACATGTGTTGAGAAATCCACTCGTGTAAAGATTTAGTCAAACATAAATAAAACGTACTTTGGGGATATTTTAAGAATCTGAGCTTTGTAGTTGCTTAAACTTACCGCATTTATAATATGGTCTATGTAAGTATGCAAAGTATATAACATAAAAAAACGTACATGCACATACAATGTATACTTTTGAAAAAAAAGTTCACCTACATAAAAACATAATGTTAGTATAATTACATGTATGTATTTAATTTTTAAGTGACATGAGAAAAAGACACAGTAGGTGTAATTCAAATTACTGAAACGGACTCATTAACTTTTAAATAAAAAATATTATTAAACCTGCATATTTAAAAAAAAAATAGTAAACTTTTCCTTATATTGTTGTAGATTTGATTTTGTTTTTGTTTTTTTTTTTTTGTTTTTTGTATGGTTTAAAGTAACAGATACAAGACACGACTTTTTCAGTTAGGGAAATACCTCAAACAACTGTATAAACAATATATATAGTTGCAACACCCGCAGACAGCTATGTATCTGAGCAAGGAAAAGGTTAAACAAACCTATTGCAGGATTAATTTTAAAAATTTGAACGTTTTACCGTTTTACACATAGCGAAACTCAATAAGGTAAACACAGAGGTTACAAACTGTAATCTGGACAACTTTTTTTATATTTTCATCGACGGAAGTTTGCAAATGAAAATGGTGTCGTTATGCAGCCTTCAGTGTCTTCTTAATTCAAATCTAGATTATGCATGTATAATAAAACAGAGCCGAGGTCAATATTGATCATATTCAAGGAAAAAAGAGTCCATGACTGTATAATAATTAAACTTCAATATGTAGGACTCTAAAGTGCGATGGGACTCCAAAGTCCGATGGTCACATCAAAGTCCGATGGTCACATCAAAGTCCGATGGTCTTGCGCCAATTCCCGATGGTCTGACACGCCAAAGTCCGCTGGTGCGTAAATCAATTAACGTCTATGACGTCATAGTACCACTGCGCCAAACCTTAAGATCTTGAAAATAAATGCGAAAACTAACCCTTATCTCGCAGATAGGTGCGCGAGACTAACGCTCGAAAAGTGTGTATTAACAATAACCTAGATTTCTTGGGTTGGTGCAAGACTAACCCTAATCACTCGACTACAGTGTGCGAGGACTAACCCTAAACCTCTCAGGTTGTGCAATGCAAGGACTAAACCCTAATCGTGGTTTGCGAGGACTAATCTTATTATCTCTGGCAGGTGCAAGCAACATGTAAAATCAATAAAATTGTATTTGAGGACAAATTCATAAATGATGGCTTCTGAATGCAAGACAACAGCGTTAAGGGTTGACGTCGGATTATTGTGACGTCATAAACGTTGATTGTTCATCCGCACCATCGGACTTTGTCGTGTCAGACCATCATACCTTTGGCGTCCCTAACGACAGATAGCCACCGGGGTTTGGCGCAGACTATCGGACGTTGGCGTCACCATCGGACTTTAGAGTCTTTCAAATATATAAGGAGTAACATACTTTTCTAACTTAATCACAAACAAAGAACAAATATCGATGAAAAATTAAAATTTATTATATGCAAACTCTTTTTTCAAAAATGGCATTTACAATTCACAAAATAACATCATTTCAAAATGAAAACGGCGAGAATAATAAAAAGAGACAGAACTCATAAAACTCAACAAATATTACATATATAAAAAAAAAGAATGCATACGGCATAAAATATGGACCCTCAGAAATTTCAGAGGTGGGATCAGGTGCTTTGGAGAAGTAATCATCCCCTGTTGACCGGTAATGTAACTAGACAATACAAAGTTACGTAAGATGAAGTTCAAAAATCTTCTGCCATTCTTAGGAGATTTTTGTTAAGAAGGGATTTTATCTCCGTCTCTGAAAATCAGTTCGTTTGTCTACAATCCATTCGTTTGTAGATGCTCGCTCGTTATTATCCCTTTCTAAATGTTTCAGGCAATGATATGGCAATTTCATATATAAACCGAACATCAGGTTAAATAGAATGCGTAAAATTAATAAGGTTTTCCGTTCATGACGTTAAAAAGTTGAAAGAGGGATATTAAAAGTTTCCATAAACATGATAAAGTTCTATTAAATCTTTCAAAATAAGCACCCCTAGGAGTGAAAAGTAATTCTTGATTGGGATGAATTGAAGATAAACGGCATTATAATTATTCTCCTCGGTCGTGTTTTATCTGTCCGGAACTTTTATATCCACTCATCCAGAAAGATTCTGATGCCCTTTTATATTGATTTAGCAATTTGTAACAGTCTTGGTGAATAAAGATGTAGCCTTTAATCGTTCAGAGATCATGAAGACCATACAACGTCCAAAGCAATTACAATTGTTTCTAGACTATTGAGAATATGAATCCAACACCAATTTCCCTTTCTATGACCCCCGGGGGTCATGATATGAAGAAAATTGAATCTACACTACCTGAGGATGTTTGCCGATAAGTTTCATCTTTCCTGGCACAGTGGTTCTTGAGAAGATTTTTAAAACATACAACCAAATTTTCATTAATTCCCAATTATCTCCCCTTGAATGAGGGCGTGGCCCTTCATTTGAACAAACTTGAATCCCCTTCACCCAAAGATGCTTTATGGCAAGTTTGGTTGAAATTGGCCCACTGGTTCTTGAGAAGAAGTCAAAAATGTGAAAAGTTTACAGACAGACAGATGGACAGGCAGCTAGACAGACAGCTAGACAGACGGACGCCGGACAAAATGTGATCAGAAAAGCTCACTTGAGCCTTCGGCTCAGATGAGCTAAAAAAGAAATAACAATTAATTTCCATGAGCATTTTTCCTCTAGATTGCCCAACATTACAGAATCTTTTGAAAATCTTATTAAATACAAAGTTGTTTTTCCTCCTTGCTATCGCACAAAATTGGTTCACTGTATTCATTTCGTTGAATGGACAGTATTTACTTAAATAATTTTGCAGAATTCTTATGCCCCGTAATCGAGGATTCGGGAGTGTATAGTTTTTGCCCTGTCTGTCCGGCCGTCTGTCACTTTGTCTGTTTGTCCGCAAAAACTTTAATCTTGGCCGTAACTTTCAAGTGGATGGGGCTATGGCTTTAATGTTCCAGAGGTGTATTCTTTGTGACAAAACCTTTCTGGGTATACCACCAAATGGGACCTCGTGACCTTGATTTTGGAGTTTGACCCACTCGTATTAAAAATTTTCGAACTGTAACATTGGACATAACTTTTAAATAGTTAGTACTAGGACTTTCAAACTTCATATGTGTAATCAGTCTTACAAGGACTTTCAAAAGGTGTAAAATAGTTGACCTTTTGACCTTGATTTTAACGTTTGACTAACATTTACCCATAACTTTTGAATAGTTGGTATTAAGGCTTTTATACTTCACATGTTGATAATTTTTTTTTTCATTTGACCTTGACCTTAGTTTTGAACTATTTTTAAAAAAACCCTAGAACCTTTACCGTGACTTTTGAACCGTTGATTTGAACATTTTTATTGTCATATATATATATATTATATATATATATATTGTATATATATATATATATATATATATATATATATATATATATATATATATATATATATATATATATATATATATATATATATATATATATATATATATATATATATACAATGGGATTAGGCACAAGTTCCTAAAACTTATTTTGAACCGTTAGTTCTAGTGCTATCATTTTTCATACGTGAATTCATTGAGAACAAACTTTTCTTTTGATACTAACAATTTTGACCTTTAACCTTGGAGTCTGACTTGCATTTGAGAAACTTCTATCCTCACTCTAAGCTGCCATATGTGGGCGTCAGTTTTCCCAAATACTTTTTGATTTTTTCTGAGACAGGCCCTTAAAATAAGTTACCTGTCGAGAGTTTTTGCAAAATAAGAGTTTGAAAAATGAAAATAAAATGTACATTTTATAATAAATCTTGCGAAAATAACTGAATAAAGTATTTGTATATTGTGAACTATATAGAAAAATATTTTTAAATGTCAGAAGCGTATAGAACCGTATTTTACTCATGATACGATGATCATAATACGTATTCATTTATTCTTTCACTCTATAAAAGTGAACAACGGAAAGTGAAAATGGAAATTCGAAAAATCATCTAGAGGTTGTATCAGGTGCCTAGCAAATTGTTAGGTCATTATTTACACACTAAATGTCTACGGTTTTTCGCCTTTCCTGATCATGACAAAGAGCGCGTAGGAGTAACTAAAATATGAACAGCAGTGAAGGGGAAAGAAACTTTTTGAGTGCTATACAATACCCAGGGTAGTATAATTTTTAAAAGTATTAATCAGATGTGTCTGCTTAAAACTAAAAAAAAAACTCTTAAAAGATTATTAGAAATTACAAATAAATTACATTGTTAAAAAGCAAAAAAAAGGTTTGTTTGTTTTTTTCTTTACATTTTTTTATGGCTTTTATGAAATAGAAATCAATTTTGATGCTCTTTTTGTGTTAGGTTTTTCCGATAGAAAGATAGAAAGAAAGGAAAAACTACAGAAAGTACCTATTTTTATCAACAAATGTTATGTTGCTTCAATGAATGTAAGCCCTGATTTTTGAACAAATGTCTTCCGATAATGTTCTTTAACAGCCGATATGGAACAATTGTAACTTTGTTTATAGAGGAAATACATTATTTGTTAAAAACTGCATAGCCAAAGGATTTACTTTTAGAAATTAGGTACTTATATTATTTTACCAAATCAGTAGCATCAAAACGTACTTTTGAACATTTTATAAAACCGTTCCTAACAATGAATAAAAATATTATAGGTTCTGTGACAGATTTTTTTTCAATACTTTTTTAATTTTAATTTTTTTTTCAATAATTCAATAGTATGGAACTTATAAATCTACTTACATTGTCATTGGCTATTTGCAAAAGAATTTCGTTAAAAAAATCTTATTGTCATCACAAAGTTTAAATAAAAAAGATGCTGCTTGAATTTTTGATTGAAATATAAATATACAATGTAGATTTTGGAGGTCAGGTCTTCCCACAGTCTGTTGGAATTGCTCTGGGTACCAATTGCACCCCGTTATTAGCAGACATTTTTTGCCTATATATGACGCATTTTTTTCTTCAAAATACACAAATTGTATTATACACGACAAGAAGAAAATACTTGCTATGACTGTCAACTCGACATATTCAAATATCGCTGACGTTCAATTATTTACAATTAATGAACAGTTTTAAATTTACTTCCATTCATATGTCTACTAGATATAATTATTTTTTATTTTTCTATTGCAACTTTCCTTACTGATGTAGCTATGCATTACCAATTTAACCTGCATTTTGGGATTTTATCTTCTAGTTGATTCGATACGCAAGAGCACCCCCTATGAACGAATAATAGTTGAAACCATACTAGCTATTTTCAAACAAGTTGATGAAACAAGGATATCATCAGTTTTGGTTACAGTTATCTTTTTTTAAGTTTTATGGTCGATACAATGAACTTGTCAGCAAAATCTACGCATCATTATCAAGAACACTTACTGGCATTTTCATACTAATTAACAAAATTTATACATATGTTATTTTGTAGAGCAAAATGTTATGGTACGCTACATATAATTTTTCTACCGTTTTTCTTTAAAACTTCACACATTCTCCGAGACATATATTTCATTGTCAAAATGCACGAATAAATCGGGGTTCGTCACATACGCAAAACATATTCACTCTGATAATTCTATTTCTTTACAATGGGCCCAGATTCTTGCTAATGAAAAGATTTAACAATTACTGCGCCGGGCTTCACTTTGTATTTGAAAATAATGAATTTGTTGTTATATTTCACATTTAACAATTATATTTATCCAGTCATAAAATTTGAAAACTTTTTTGAATTTAGTATATCAAAAAATAATGTCATATAATGCAGTGACATATGTCTAGTTTTAAATACTGTTAAAAATACATGTACAGAAAAAGAACTACTGTAAATCACTTTTTATTCGCGAGAACTTTATTTTTGCGTAATTACGCGAGACGGAATGCTCGCGAAAACTTCATTCTCGCGTATTATAGAATTCCTTAAGATTGTGTAGAGCAATGATCACAATTCGTTAAAATTTTGTGTCGGTAATAAAGAGTCAATGACTATCTCGCGAAAATAAGGTGTCGCGAAAATTAAGTGATCTACAGTATTGTAACGCTCAGGTGTACAAAGGTTAGCAGTTACTGCAGAATGTTCTATTGAAAAGGATTTTTTACTACGTTATAATGTTATAACGTAACGTTACAAATAATGTCGTTCCTCGTGTAAATTTCACTCAAAACTATGCCATACTGTCAAATCTCTTCTTGAAAGAGTATTATAGATATCTAAAAAAGGAAAACAGTTTTGAAAAGCTACAAGTCTACACTATCTTTAAATTCTCATTAATTTTTTAGTTGAGGCGCATTTCGATGGTTCGTGGCTTTAGCTCTTTTCAGGGGAAAACGAACATTATTTTTGAAATATCATTTTTAAAAAGCTTACAATTACTTTAGATGATCTGCTCAGATGCTAAATCGAAATCTCAACTGGGGAGGAAATCAAATGACATCGATTCTCGAGGAAGCAATTGAATATAACACAGATAAATTTATTACTTTACCAGGACTTAATGATTTCATAGTGGAAAGGAAATAAAAAAAGATTCGTGCATATATCAAAACTGCTGGTTTTTATCCGCGAATGCTGTTCAATATATCAGGATTAAGATAGTTGTGATATCTGAAATTGAAGTTTTGGATTATTGATGTATTCGAATGGGTTTTCTGATACTGATATTTATTTCAAGCAACGTGGTTGCAAAGTAAAGTTTATTTTCATGCCTCATGTGCTTGCAAAGTAAAGTTTATTTTCATACATGTATATTACATTTACAGGTGTTTCATAATGTACTGTAAACCAACTTTTATTCGCATGCAAGAAATATACGCAAGTTTCGCGATCAACGTTAAATTACGAATTATAATAACAATCGCTGCGAGCATTTTTTTTTTTTGCTTTGTATTTTAAAGAATGTTTTATTACTCAGGCGCGTATCAATTGTCGATTGATTTGAAGCTGACGAATCGGAAATAAAAGATTACATAATAATAGTTGGTTTACAGTATTGTTTATTTAGGTAGAGATCAAATTAATGATGTTCATCAGGTGTTAATCTTTAAAACATGACAATCATTCTAGCTCATATACTGTATTTATTTTGTTTCTTTTAGGAGAGATGTATCCATGCCACAGTGTATCAACATTCACTTAGAGAAGGAAATGAACATGTCTTCTATGGACGCCAAATCTTGTATCAAGACAAGCAAAATACACATCTATAACAAGACAATGGGTAATATTAATTGTAAGCGTGCATTGATTGAAACTCTGACTGACTTTTTTCATACTTATTGTTAGTCCACTATCTATACACTGAATTGACTACGGATTTTTCCGTTATTTCCCGATCATGACAAGGAGCACACGACGGGTGGGACAAGTCGGCAGGGGATGCTCACTCCTCCATTGCGCCTGATCCCAACTCTGAACTGAATTTTGGAAACCCATGTGAGCTCTGCTCCTATTTTGTATTGTTTTATGGACTTTTGATTTGAATACTGTTCGTTATCTTCATATGTTTTATTGTATAAATACGTGTATTTTTTTTAATTTCATGACTAAAAATATTTATTTTGAGTCTTCAACAATTAAAAATCAAAAAGGGTGAAAAAAAGACTTTTCAATAATGTGTTCAACAGATACAGGTTAATTTTTTATCAAGTTTAAAAAGATTACTTAATTTTCAAAAATCGTTCGTTCTGTCGCAGAAATCGATTCATTCCTTCAAAAAAGTTCGCCATCAGATGGAAACAGTATGATGTCCAACTTATCCTGTGTAATTGATTCCAACACTACGGCGCCATCATCTGACACCTGCATCTGTAAGTCGTTAGTGACGATTCCACTATCAGCTGATGACAAATGCCAGGACTACTGCACTATTATCCGCGTTTATGTACATGCAGGTACATTACTTTGAAATTAAGATAGAAAGTATTTAAAGTAGGGTAAATCTACAAAACATTAACTCTGAAAACATCATCTTCCCAAGTCAAGAGTTTCTGATCCGCTTTGCTCAGAAACTCTTGACTTGGGAAGATGGAAAACATGGAAAAGCTATTTTCCGACCACTTGTAGTCGGAAATTAAATTTGATGAAAATTTGAATATTTTACTTTTGATCCATTAAATTGCTTTAAAAACTGTAAATCACTTTTTTTATTCGCGAGAACTTTATTTTCGCGTAATTACGCGAGATAGTGTACTCGCGAAAATTTAATTCTCGCGCATTATAGTATTCCTTAAGATTATATAGAGCAATAACCACAATTCGTGAAAATTTTGTCTCGCTAATCAAGAGTCAATGACTATCTCGCGAAAATAGGGTGTCGCGAACAATTAGTGATCTACAGTACTAAATTTTTTCTGCATTTCAACTTTTATGTGTTATACATGTATTTCTAGTATGTCTTTTCTTTTTTACAAGCTACAATGTGTATCTGCGATGCTTGCAATGAAAACCATATGTTGGTTTACCGGTATTTTGTCAAATCACCTGCAATAACTGAAGGTAGTACAACTAAAATAAAGGAACTTCCTTATTTTAAAAAAATAATATTAATAAAAAATAATCTAAATTGAAAAAAATCAGAATTGTCGTTTCCAATGACAATTAATTAATGTCAGGAATTTAATGATTTCAAACTTCGGAAAAATTTAAGTTCGAGTGCATGTTACGAAATACAATTACAGTTTGATTAGTTTTAATTTGTTTATATAATGCTATAAAAATATGAACAGCTGAATACTCATATTTACAGGAAGTAACACAACCTTTAAAGTTCTAGGAGGACTCTTTGGAGGGTTATTATTTGGTTTGGTTATCGGCACAGGGTTAGCAGTTTGGACTTTTAAAAGGCAAGCTGTGTAACCACTCTTAATAATATTACTCAAATTATAACTCCAAAAATCTAAGTAAATATCATAGTCCTGATTTTCAGAAATACGAGTCGAGATCCATCTTCAGGTCCAGAACCCGAGGTTAAATACATGACAAAACAAAATAAGGAACCTGTGGATTACCATTCCTATGCTGGAAGAGCTGGACAGTCTGTAGATAACCGTGTAGACAATGGAGAATGTCCTGATTACGATAATGTTCTCTATGGTTAGAGCAATATGAACATGAAGATGACTAAGACTAAGGAAAAACTCTGCAAGATTACTGATTCACCATTTTTAAGACTCGGTTTTCGTTAAATAAATATTGGGGTTTTATTCACATCTATCCGTCCATCTTTGTCCAGATAGTATACACAAGATCTTCAAAAGATTTTACAATGGTACTTAAATTGATGATTCTTATATTGGAAAGGCCTCTATCGATGTAAAGACCGAAGGTGAAAAGTCACCAATTCTTTCCTTTATCCTTTAGATACTCAGTAGTTTATATCAGTTGCTTACTCCAACACTGGGCCCTACTCAACCTCTGATGTTTAGAAGAGGTCCCTGTTTGTTCTTCTTTCGATACGTATAACTTGATAACCATTCATAGATTGAATTTAATTTGTCATATTTCATCAGCCATATATATGTACCCCAGTATGTTTGCATATATCCATTGTTGTGATTCATCATTCAAGTTTTTGCATAAAAGTGATGGTGATAATAAGTTTCCACTTATGCTCCAGATGTCTCTGCTTTTGCCTGATGTACAATTCCACATCCTCATTGGATTAATGATTATCCAATAATTTGGAGATTAATGTCTCACATATAAAACTGAATTCCAACACAAAAAAATCAAGGATTTGGATTGGTAAAAAAAGGTTTACGAACCCGAAATTTAAATACATGTCATATTATCCCCAAAAAAGATGAAATTAAACTATTACTTCAAAACAGACAAACTTTAGATATTTTAGGTTTATGTGAAACATTTTTGACTGAGCAGATAGAACTCTGAATTGAATATTGAGGGCTTTGTCTTTGAAAGAAAATATAAATGACAAAGGGCAGGTGGTGGAATCTTAATATACATTTCAAATGAAATTTCATATAATGTGTGGTTTTAGAAATCAGTAACATTGAGACAATCTGGCTAGAGATAATATACACAAAAATTTCAAAAAATTTTATTGCTCTGCTTAATTGACCATCTGCCCCCTCCTGCTGGGCAGAGGACCCTTTTGAAGGGAGGTGAAAAGTAACTCCTGCTGTGATTTACACTGAAATAATTTTATCAGGTGATTTAATATTGATCTAATGAACAGACACCTAACCCACAATACTGGGCATCTGCTTTAGAGGAGTTTGCACTTTCACAGATAGTTACTGTTCCTACTAGAATAACAAGTACCTCAAGTACCTTAATTGATCATTTTTATACAACGAAACCAGAAAACATATGTGAAACAAATGTACCCCCTATTTTATATCTGACCACTACCCTGTATGTTTGACACGGAAAACTAATTGTATACAGTTTAGAGGAAAACATACTGAAATCCAATATCGATTTTAAACAATTCAATGAAAATGAGTTTTTAAGAGATTTAGAAAATGCAAATTTTAACTCACTTCTTGAGCTAAAAGACACAAACGTGTCATGAATAAATTTTATGAATTATTTAATGATATTCTTAACAAGCATGCCAAAGTAAAAACTAAAAGAGTCAAGACTGAAATTCGACCTAAATGGCTTACTCAGGAAATAAATGATGCTAGACATTTACGTGATACATACCATCTACAAAGAAATTCAGAAAATTACAAATTTTGGAGAAATAAAGTCACACAATTAATAGATCAAGCCAAATCAAAGTATTACAAATCAGCAATTGAAGATAGTTCAAGTCCTAAAGAAATGTGGAGTTATTTAAACCAACTGGCATCAGATTCAAAAAATGTCACACCTACCCGTATAACACAAAATGGTTTATTTCAAAGGTTTTGCCTGTTTCGATTTACAGGATATTGTTGATATTTTTAACAAACACTTTACTGAAATATCCTGTAAATTATTAGCAGATATGTCAGTAGAAAGTTTTGATTCAGAATTATTAAATAGTTTATAGAAACTAAACTAGGGAAAGAAAATGTTTTCAGTATAAATCATATAAGTGATTTTGAAGTATTAAATATGTTGAATTTTGTAAACAATGTGGTATAGATTTGATTGGACCTCGTCTTCTAAAGCTTTGAAAATGTTATATGCAAATCTATTACACATCTTATAAATACTCATCACTAATGGAGTGTATTCCATCCCGTTATATATATATATATATATATATATATATATATATATATATATATATATATATATATATATATATAAAAAATTATCATTTGCTCTATCCATTCTTCCAACATTATCAAAATTAGCTCTTCAAAAACACATAGCCAATCAGATATGTAACTTCACCTCCAAGACTTTGATTCCTTGTGTAAATCAAGATGTCTGGATTTCGTACAATTTCAAATTCTTGTCAAACGGATTAACAAAACTTACAGATAATTGGCTACAAACTTAAACCAAGGAAATTTAGTATTCATAACTTTCATCAATTTTAGCAAGGCATTTGATTTGTGTTAATCATGATATTCTGATGATTCAAACTTCAAGGCATAAAATTTATATAACAATGGGCTATTAAATGCTTTCATTACAATAACCTCAAGGTCTATGTGTATAAAATTTCAGGTAAAAATTCCTCTGATTTTTTGCCCGTCACAGCAGGAGTGCCTCAATATTTAGCTGTTATCTCAACTTTAAACATTATTTGTATATAAATGATTCCCTTTACATGTAAATTTTTCAACAAGTTAAAATTCTTGCTGATGCTGCAAGAGATACATCATCATAAAAATGTAGAAATAGGAAAAATAAATTTTAAATTGTGTCAGAGAAAATTGGTGTTCCAAAAATCAAATGTGTTAAATACTATTTAAGAAATTATTCTTTATACATACCTTCACCCCAGACTGAATCCACCTCAAACTTTGGTTTATCACTTCAACAAATTAAGAAAATGTTTGAATCTGATAAGCACTTATGTAAGGAATAGTGACCTTTTGTTGCCCTTGATGAAACTGATGAAGAATTGTTGTTTGTAATTGACTGGATTTCTGGCGTTCTTGATGATTTAAACTTGAAAGATCTCCGATTAGGGGTGCACTGTTGGTTTTTATTAACTTCTTGACTGTTATTGCCAAAACTCCTAAGGGGAACACTGCTTGGAATACTACTCACATTAGCTGTCTGATTCACAGTTGTTTGATTCTTATTATATTCAACTGTGCTATTTTGATGCCCCTTGTTTATTTGAAAAACTTGTATTCCACTCTGATTTAAAGTTAATTGATTTTCATAAAATGTGAATTGGAAGGAGGCACTGAAGTGGATGTAGCAGATGTTGCATAGGGAACACTTTGTATATTTCTGTTGGCAGTTTGAATGCTTGGAGTTCTACTTTCTGCATGCTGCAATACAGGGGTAGGTGTCCTTACACTCTGGCTATTAAATGGAGCACTTGTTGATGGATTCCCTCTGTCAAAGACAGTCAGTGGTGTCCTTACACCCGAGGTCATTGTTCTTCCACCAAACCTAGGAGCACTGTTAGACATTTGTGAATTGTTGGGAAATTCATTATAACATGTGAAACTGTGCAGTTATTATTCATTTGAGGAGTGAAAGGTATATGTACATGTTTTTTCACCAAAACTATGAGTCCTATTATTTCTTTGGGAAATATTAGGTGTGGATGATCGTCCAACAAACTGTGGAGTTCTGGTTTGAAATTGTTGGGTTTGGGCAAGGCTTCGACTGGGCGTTTTAGCTGTTGCTGACTGGTTCATCAGATGTCTTTGACTAGAGTATTATTATCTATTATTATTAACACACTGGATAAATATACTTCCAAAATATTTCAAATGATTGTAAGTCTTATTCTTGCTATATATGAAGACAATGTTGGCTGGGGTTATGTTCAGGTAATGACTCCTAGGATTTGGACTTATCACACTGACCTGTAATGAACAAGAATTTTGCAGCAAAATTTCTTTTACTTAATGAAATTAATTTCAGTAATCATAATTCTTTTTAGTTTAAGTTTTATCAACAAGTTAAAATTCCTCAGAGAGCTGTGAGAGCACATCATCACTCAAATCTGAAAAAAGGAAATATTAAATTTAAAACAATCTAAGCTGGTTGGTGCTTTAATATCTTAAGTTTCAAACTATTTTGATAATTATAAAATTTACAAATTTCACCATAAATTTTATTTCATCATAACTTTGATTTATCACCAAAAGGAAGCACTATTGTTTGAGCATTAGCATTTATTTAAGGAAGGAGTAACCCCCCCCCCTTTGTTGCCCTTGATGAAACTGATGAAGAATTGTTTTTGTAATGACTTTTCATCATAAATATATAAACTTAGATCATTAGAACAATATCCAGGAGCAAAGAAAACGATTTTCAAAGAATGAATGTATTTTCAATATATAATCAAAAGGAACACTGCCCCTTACACCAAATGGCAAAACCCTGATTCACAGGGTTTGAAATTCACAAATTTGAACTGAGATACTATTTTGATGCACTCTTCCTTGAAAATGTAAATTGAAAGCAGGCACTGAAGTGGACATAGCAGATGAAGGGAATTTTGATATTTCTGTTGGCAGTATATAATCTTGAATTTTCACTATATAATCTGTAGCTGCAGTACAGGCATAGGTCCCTTACCTCTGGCTATAAAATTCACAATTTTGATGGATTCACTCTGTCAAAGACTATGTCAGTTTATTTAATACCCAGGTCATTGAAGATTTTCCACCAGAACCTAAATGCATTTTCACATATAATGAATTGTTGGGAGTTGCTGGTCTTGCTGAAAATTGTGGGCCATAAAATTCATTTTGGAAGAGGCACTATTGTCTCATCAAAACTATGAGTTATTATTTATTTGGGAATACCAGGTGTGGAGA